TGAATGGATGGATGGATACTTGAATGGATGCTTGGATGGATGCTTGAATGGATGCTTGGATGGATGGATGTTTGGATGGATACTTGAATGGATGCTTGGATGAAAAGATGCTTGGATGAATGAATGTTTGTATGGATGTTGAATGGATGCTTGGATGGATGGATGATTGGATGGATGATTGGATGGATGGTTGCATGGATGGATGGATGGATGGATGGATGGATGGATGCTTGGATTAATGGATGGATGGATGAATGAATGCTTGGATGGATGCTTGATGCTTCTTGTTGACTTTGACCTCTCTAAGGGATTTTAAACATTTTGTTAAGTTCATGGCAAAACCCAACACAGACATGTTCCTGTGTTTAGTGTTTTACATCACTTTATAGCTGTTTTTGTTTCGCTTTTATGTAGTTTTTACATAATTTTTTTTTACATTTTATTTTACATGTTTTTATGATTGACTGTTGTTGTTTGTACCTCATCTTTGTTCTTTGTTTAAATCAAGTCTCTCTTGTAAATGAGTCCTCGTGGCTCCATGAGACTAACCTGTATAAATAACGGTTGAATGAATCTTGATAGTATAACAAAATTAATGTTAAAGCTTCCTGTTGCTATTTACACAAATAACCACAAAATTCTATGAAAGTAAGCTTGAAATGCAAAACTTGTGATGTAAAGGTTTATAAAACTGAAATTCAGGAACTGCACTCAAATTTTGGAGCTTGGAGTTGTTTAAAGTGCCTGCAGCCTTTAGCTGGTTGGACCTAAACTGTCTAAAGGCCGTCTATTAAAACTAAAGAAGTGTCAGTCTGTGTCATTCATATTCGATCAGAAACCTTACAACTTCCACATTAAAGTTTGATTTTAGACGAGAACACATTTACTTTGAAGGAAACATCTTTATGTGGACATAATTTGAACTACACGAGCATTCGGTGTACAAACTCAGCGATGTGTGTATAATGGTCAACATGGAGCTTTTCATTACTGTTATGACGACATAATGTGTGCAATGACACGGATACACCTCAGACGGAAATAAACCGATGAGTACATTTTCTGTCAAAAGACACAGAGGGCGGATAAAAGACAAACCTCGGAGAGCAAACTCAAGGAGATGCCTTGAAAGCATATTCAGACCACTTAAACCTGTACACATTTTGATGCGTATTATATTCAAAGTATTTTACAGGAACTTTAGGTACTGGAACGACACAGAGCTGTGCGTAGCTGTGAAGGAAATGATGCAGTTTTGAACGTTTTATACAAATAAAGATGTGTTTGATTTCAGTAGCTTTTGAAACAGAATCACATCTCTCAGTATAAATACACCTGTTCTGTGAAGGCCTATCAACCAGCATCATGAAGACCAAGGAACACACTGGACAGGTCAGGGATGAATATGAGGAGTTTTAAGCTGGATTAGGTTATAAAGCAGCACATCAGACAGAACACTGCTCAGGCCATCATCCAAAAATGGAAAGTTTGGAGCAACTGAAAAAACATGGCCGTCCACCTAAACCAGGAGTCTGCTACCTTTACGGTCAAAAGAGTCATTTCTGCCCCTTCGCTCATTGAAAAAAGCGTGTAATGAGCCAACTGGTGGTCCATGGGCCACATCATGTTTGTTAGAGAGGGGCTTTTCTGGCCAGTGCAGGTGACATATATAACTAAAAATAATGAATTTTAACATTTATTGATAATTTCACAGCGGCACGGCGCAGTTGGTAGAACTGTTGCCTCTCAGTGAGAAGATCACCAGTTCAAATCCCAGTCCAGGACCTTTCTGGGTGGATTTTGCATGTTCTCTCCGTGCATGTGTGGGTTTTCTCCAGGTACCCCAGTTTCCTCCCACAGACTAAAAACATGCATGTTAGGCTGATTGGTAACTCTAAATTGTCCCTAGGTGTGAGTGAGACAGTGAATGGTTGTTTGTCTCGTTTGTCTCTGTGATGGACTGGAGACCTGTCCATGGTGTACCTGTCCATGGTCTACCCCACCTCTCACACAGTGATAGCTGGATATGGGTACCAGTGATCCAGACAGGAGGAAGTGTGTAAAGATAATGGACAGATATTTTATTTTTCTAAATCTTATTATCAAACTCACTCGCCGTATTTCTTCCAAAGAACTTGTCCTAAAAATATTTCTAAGAACGTCTGGTGGATTTGAGAGAAAGATCCTCTGTAAGGCTGGAAGTTGGATGAATTAGCTAAATCGAATCATCAAACTTCATGCTCTATAATCCAGGTAAAAACTCCCAACAGAGTTAAGTCACGTACTCTGGACGGTTTCTTTTATTGTTGAGACGTTTCATCCTTCAACCATTGAGTGTGCTGCTAGTGGGACTGAGTTAGTTGTGGCTCCTCGAACTGACGAAGTCCTTTGGATGAAGAACAAAAGGTTTCAACAACAAAAAGCCGTTTGAAGCAGATGGCCACTTGTCCTGAGCTGGTTCTGCTAAATTCCTTTTGAGGGAGTTTTTCCTTTCCACTGTCACCTTCATGCTTGCTCAAGATGAGAGTTCTGTGATGGAGTTAAACTGAAAGCAGTCTGCTGCTCAGATAAATAATGTTCAATTATTATTTTTATGTTTCTGTTCAGTGCCCTGAGACGACTTCTGTTGTGACTTGGTGCCATACAGTATAAATAAACTAAACTGAATTGGAAAAAGAAACCGTTGTTACTTAACGTTGTTAAATCTAACCGTGTTTCGCTCCTTGTGGTCACGTCAGAAAATTGACGAAACAAGAAAATACTGCTAAAACTAGCTGTTTTCTGCTGTGGTCATAAAACAACTATTAAATTACATTTCATGTTAGTTTTGGTCAAAGCTTCAAAGAACCACATGTGGGCCCGGAGAGCCCCACGGTAAAACTAGAGACCCTCAGATGGGACAAACGGTCCACAAACCATTAGTCGTGGATTCCACAAACCTAGTCTTTAGAGGGAAAGAAGAATGTCAGAATTGTTGTAACGTGACAAAATGTGGAAAAGTTTCCATTTTCAAGTCTCTGTAAGAGAAACAAATGTTCAAAGATTGTAAATCAAATGGTTGTCCCCCTGCAGGTTTCAAAGGCTGCTGCTGACCTGATGGCGTACTGCGACGCACACGCCTGCGACGACCCCCTCATCACCCCCGTGCCCACCTCAGAAAACCCGTTCAGGGAGAAGAAATTCTTCTGCGCTCTGCTTTGAAACCAATCAGGGATTGCTGTGATTGAAAAGTACATGCATGTACGGTGTGTACATGTACTTCCAACCTAAATAAGACGTTAAATGTACTATAGTATCGTCGCATCAAAAAGCTGCCAAGTTACAGCACAGAATCCAATACGACATGTCTTCAGCTAAATTAAAAAAAATAACTATGAGCTTCAAAGATCTAAGAAAGAAGAATTTAATATAATTAGATTTTTTTTAATAGATCAATAAAATGTTGGAAATATTATAGTAAACTTTGAGGGGACTTAAAAAACAACATATTTCATGCTCAAACTACAAGTAACTACCAAAACACCACGTTAGACCTCCAGCAGTCATTTGTTACATAAAGGCTGGTTAAATGGACTTAAACTGATTTATTTCTAATTCTAAATCCTAGTTACTAGTTACACACTCATGTTTTGGCAGTTACTTGTATAAGAACAGCTGTTTAAAAGTACAAATTTAGCAGGTTTTGTGAAGATTTTAGCTAATTTCTATACCGTTGCTAGTGTGGATGTGTGTATGCATAGGTGCTACTGTGAAACTTAAGCAACAAATACGAGCGTTTGATCGCTTGTGAATTCAATATTTTATAGTTTAATAGCACACGGACCCCCTAAACCAACACATAGGGGTCAGGGACGTTTGATGTAGAATCTAAGCCATTGCAGCAAAATCAGCTAAAGTAGTGCAGCGCGTGTATTTTTTATGGTTTAGGACACAGAATACAGCTGTGTCCATATATGTTTACAGATAACTTTAGATTTAAGAGGTTCTCCAGTGACATATGTTCCCTTCCTGTTGAGGAATTAGCATTTTTAAGTATTTACAGCTAAAAAGGCTTGTTCTGTTAATCATATCCAAAGAGATTAGAAACTAATCCTGGCGTTGTTGGGACGTGATCCATCATGAACACCCCGTTCTGGGCCATTTTACAAAAGCTGTGTACCCTGCAAATAGAAAAGCTGATGGAAATAAAACAATCAAAGATCATCTGTTTCCTTTTATTTGATTAAAAAGTGAACATGAAAGAAATCCAAGAATAAGCCCCAATGTGACACATCCCTTTTGTTTTATTATAATAAACAATATAAAAGCTGAATCTGGTCTTCACAGATCTATCAGTGTTTCGACAATTACGTGTTTGTGCGAGGACATGCGCTACAGTGGGTTTTATTGTTAAATGTTTGCACCTGCATGCATTAAGGCATCTAAAGTTTCCAAGCAGAGGACTTCAAGCTATGCGGTTTAAAAAAAAAAAAAAAAAAAGATTTTTATGTCAGGTATCACAGCATTTTATTATTAAATTATATTTGGGTTTGTTGCATTAGCATCTTTATTTATGCACATCCCCTCTCTCAGATCCAAACAAAGTGAAAGCAGATCAGACTGGTTTCTTTTTAGCAAGACCAAAAGTTAAAACAGCAGCTTCTGTACACACATCTGTAAAACATTTCTGCAGCATCAGTCAAGATTTAGTACTCGTTTCAAATATGTCTGCTACATTTTCACTTCAGCCTGCTTTTCTGAGAAATCAAACTGCGATGTGTTTTTTTTTTATTAGCTTAAATCACATCAGTCAGAAAATAGAGCAAGCAAACTGGAGTTAAACGTGTGCACAGGTACTGAATCTTCACGTATGTGAATGATGAACAAAGAGAAAGAGGTGTTGAATTTACTAATCAAAATCTCATACAGGTGAGATTGTTTACAGACGGAACAAGCACTGATGAGCTTAAAACGTGTATTTTAATCAACTTGACAAATTAAAATCAGAATCAGGCAGTGAAGAGGACGATCCGAGTCACCTGGATCATTCTGAAACCGAGCAGCTGATCTGGAAACAGTCCAGTTTCAGCTCAACACACGCTCGTTCCAGAAAACATTTGTACTTTAGCATGTGTAATAACATTAGACTACAATACTTTCTCCGCAGCGTACAGGCATGCTAATGTGCAGACCTGTGACGTGACTTACTGTAACCTGCATGGTGAGGCAAAGTTAACATTTCCAACTTCTAAAATGGGTTTAAATGCCTCCATAAAAAGGGCTATTGACTGTGAACAAACATTTCTGAATTACTAAACTTGAACATCATAAGGGTGTATAGGTCATTTTAACAAATTATATAGTGTATACAGTGCTTCAGTGTACATGTGTTGCAGCTGAACAGACTCAAGATTGCTCAAGAGGTAATGTACATTTTGAACATCAGAAGTAGAAAAAGGATTGAAATCTGTGGTTTATAGGAAGGCGTCGCACCATTCTTTCAGACAGCCGTAGCAGTCACCTTGCTGTTTGACATTTGCACCACATGTGTCTTTGATCCAATCTCGGAAAAGCTCCTCGTCTTTCTTCAAAACTAGAAACTGCCCGAGGACAACGTACGCCTGCAGAGGTAGAAAAATCACAAGTGCGATGCATTTAAATTTCCGCCTTCAAGCAGCGGAACTTGAAAAACAGCTCAGGGGAGTATTACATGACGGCTCCACTACAAGTAAAGGCAGGGGCAGAAGATGTGGCAGTCAAAAGGACGGAGTAAAATTATCACGACTGAAGACACAAAGTAAGTTAACCTACAGTACAAACTGTTCTATTGAACCGTAAATTGTTTAAAAAAAATTACTCTAGTCACCTTGTCAAAACCCTTATCCTCCAGCCTTTTCCCAAGGACGTCTCCGATCCCTGCAAGAGCATTTACAGGTTTCTCCCCCATGGGCTCAGCCACAAAGTCTTTATGTTTTTGGGATGTAGATGACATGACTGCCACAGGAGTGCTGATCTGAAACAGAGAATTAAAAAAAAGGAAAAATACATGTTTATGTCATCTGTAATGCACTGGCGTTTAAAAGATATGATCACATTAGTGCAAAAAGTAATTAAACCATCAGTAATTTGCCTGAAAGCGTTTGGTTTGTCCTCTACAAGCTGTTTGTTTCCAGGCCAAATTACTTTGAGCACACGATGCAAATATAGAAACATGCCCGATATACTTCCTGGTTGTTTGCTATGCCTCGCCTGTAAGTTCAGGATAATTGTTTTCTGATATCATCCTGAAACCCTTTCCTATAAACGCCGATGTGTTTGAGCCAAATGAAGCTCTGCAGAGTTCAGTCCCACTGTTGAAATGCGCGCGCAACACGTCAGCGCTAGCTGCTTTAGCATAACAAACTACTGCTCATTAACACCAGATTACCGCCAGAAACGGCCTTTACGTCTCTGTCTACTGTTAGCAGGAGGGTGCTGCTTACTGTGTTAAAACACCCCGTGGTCTCTTCATCTATAAACATACGCAGTGTTTGAAAAGAGCGCTATCGAGACATGTAGCTCAAAATTCCGGCGCCTTTAGCATTCAAGTCATAGCGCCAACTTTACTTAAATTTACTGCGTTTTTTAACACTCGATGCTGCGTTTCTCCTGAATTACGTTAAAGCTTGTTACGGACACAAAATAAGGCTGCGTTTGAACGAACCTCGGCACGACCAGGATAAATAACTCGTAGAAAAGAGAGCTGACTCTGCCTATATATGGTTTCCGTTTCTAGATGAACACCGGCGCCCACAATGCAAAGCGAACGCGTATCCACGTTACTGGTGACGTCAGTACGTCTCATATGGTTTGTTTCTTCCCTGAACGTTGACTCACAGGAAATGCTGGTGAAGATTCTCAGTCATCCAGGACATGATGAATTCAAAAAGCGTTCAATACAAAAACAACTGGACTTTATTTGTAACAGAAGACGTTTCGCTCCTCATCCGAGGAGCTTTCTCAATTCAAAGAGAATTGAAATTCTCTTTGAAATTCTCTCCTCCAATTCAATTCAAAAATACTTTAATCCCAAAGGGAAATTATTTATAGCACCAAGATTAGTGACAGTATTTAAAGACATAATTGAGAGGGGCACAATGCCAGAAAGTATGCAATCAGCAGTAATTTCTCTGATAGAGTAAAAAGGCAGGAATCCCCAGCAGTGTGGAAACTATTTCCCAGCGTCTCGAATAAATGAAGATGCTAAAAAAATAGCCAAGTTATCCTGATGCATGCTCAATAATCCAGGTAGAAAAATCTAACAAGGTTAAATCAGGTCATCTGGACGGATTCTTCTTTACTGAAAAATTTCGTCTTTTATCCAAAAGACTTCATCAGTCTGATGAAGACTGAATTCTATCACAGGTTCAGCAGATATGTTCGAAGTTTACTTCGTTTAACTTAAGCAAGAAACAGCCCTGAACTTGTGGTTGTTGTTTTTTTGGACGCTGAGAAAGCGTTTGATAAGTGGAGTGATAATATTTGTTCAGGATGCTGTAAGGCAGGGGTGCCCAAAGTGGGGCCCGCAGGCCAAGATGCCCCGCCAAGCTGTCCTCTTTACTTTATTAAAATTTCCTTTGAAGAATCAATGTGTTTACACTCAGTCATTCCAAGTTTAATGTTAGACAGCTGGAGTGACTTATTTGTGCATTATTTTTTTATTTCAATTATTTATATTTTATTTTGACAGATTTCATACTGTCTCTCTGCAGTTTCTTGCTGCTGAATAACATTTCCTTTGACAAAGCTGAGCATCATGGAGGTGCCCATCACACACCCTAAATTTTAACTCAGGATCTCTGAAAAACTAAAAAAACATCATTAGGATTTTGTAAAGAAACAGTTCTCAAACCTTAGATTCACCAAAAATATTGAATAAATGTTGAATAAATATGGAATAAACGACAACAGTCTCAAATGGGCCTGTAAAATCTATAATTTTTTTGCACGAGTCACACCACCTGTCAATCAGCCCAGAAGGCACGTCAGCGACTGACCAGTCAGCGACTGACCAGTCAGCGACTGACCAGTCAGCGACTGACCAGTCAGCGACTGACCAGTCAGCGACCTCAATGTGTTCTGAAGTGAACATCCCTTACCTGCAGAGCTGCAGCTTTACAGTCAGATTTCAATAATAACAGATTTGTTTTGTTTCATGTTAATCTACTATAAAAAAAAAAACCTTTGTAAAATACACCAAAATGCAGGAAATGGCATCTACTTTAATCAAAATTCTCTGGGGGAGGACACCCAGACCCCCTCCCCTACCACCAACACGGCCTATTCTTTAATGTTCTTTATACAGAATGGAAGGGTAAATAACTGTATAATAAATGAATGGATTTTACTTAAAGAATTATTTACATTTCATGTATTATATTATTGCATTTGGCCTGCAGCACTCTGATAGATTTTAAATTTGGCCCTTTCAGAGAAAAAGTTGGGGCACCCCTGCTGTAAGGTTTGGACTAGGTTCCTTGATTAAACGTCCTTAATGCCTCAGTGTTAACAAATGGAACAAATGGAAGGGTGTCCCCTCATTTCCTCCTTCACCAGGGTACAAGACTGGTATGCTGAAATTAGCATGACAGAGCAGTGACCTGATGAGTCTAGGTGGGGGTGGGGTGTTGCCTTGAAAGCCTCTATACATGTTGCTCTAGTTCCAATCCAAGCTCCTCAGGGCTGTGTCCTGAGCCCTTTAATATTTACCTTGGCATTGAAACCCTTAGCAGCTGCTATCAGAAAAACACAAATATCAAAGATATCCCTTTAGGTCCTCTCTTTGTTGATGCCTTCTCTCATATCTCAGGTTACAAAATAAATTGGGGAAAAGCAGAAGCAATGATCCTGTCAATAATATGCCATGACTGTGGCTGTCTTGAAGCAGGAGGGAACAATGACTTGCTTCAGGGAGTCTGTCAGCACAGAGGCGAGCTGGTCTGCACATTCCTGGAGTACTCTTCATGGTATGTTGTCAGGTCCTGCTGCTTTCCTGGTGTTTATGCTTTTCTGTAGTTTTGTGCCTCAAACAAAATATTTGTTGAGTTCGTTCAGGAACGCTATAGTATGGTCAGCCACCGTAGTACGGTACCGTCCTATTGTCATTGCAAGGCATTTTGTTGTCCTAGTATAGTTGGAGACTGTCTGGATGCCTCGCCACACGCTCCTGGTGTTGGCTGGGTGAATCAATCAATCAATCAATCAATTTTATTTATAAAGCACCCTTCATACTAAAAGCAGCTCAAAGTGCTGTACAGAATTATAAACAATAAACCCACAAAATAATTGCAAACAGCACACACAAAATAAAATAAAATTGTATGGAAAATGTATAGACTGAACAGAAATGAACCAGTTCAGGAAATACAGTTAAAAAGATGGGTCTTGAGCCTGCTCTTAAAAACAACAACATTTTCTGCGGCCCTCAGGTTCTCCGGCAGACTATTCCACAGACGGGGGCCATAGTACTGGAAAGAAGCCTCACCGTAAGTGTGAGTTCTGACTATTGGAACTGTTAGTAGTCCAGTGCCAGAGGACCTTAGTGTCCGCGGGGGTTCATAGAGTAATAGCAGCTCTGCAAGATAAGATGGTGCAAGACCATTGAGACATTTAAAAACCATTAAAAGAATCTTAAAATCAACCCTGAGACGCACAGGGAGCCAATGCAATGATTTTAAAACAGGTGCAATATGAGCCTGCCTTCTGGTCTTGGTTAACACACGAGCAGCAGAGTTTTGTAACAGCTGAAGGCTGGATACATTTTTCTTAGGGAGACCAGAAAGCAGTGCATTACAGTAGTCAAACGGCTAGAAATAAAAGCGTGCATCAAAGTCTCAGTATTAGTAAAAGAGAGAAGAGGGCGGACTCTGGCTATATTTTTTAGATGGTAAAATCCTGTTTTGACTATATGTTTGATATGTGGAATAAAAGTAAGCTCAGAGTCAAAAAGAACCCCAGGCTTATTACTTTTTTGGAAGGTTTTAAAGACAGAGATTGTAATTTCTGAATTGTATTTTCTTTTTGAACCTCCGGTCCAATGATTAAAACTTCTGTTTTGTCCTGGTTTAGCTGGAGAAAGTTCTGTGCCATCCAGGACTTTATGTCTGAAATGCAATTAAAAAGTGCAGTGATTGGCCGGGGGTCATCATGAGATAATGAGATGTATAGCTGTGTGTCATCAGCATAACTGTGGAAACTTATCCCATGGCTCCTGATGACTCCACCAAGCGGCAACATGTACAAATTAAAAAGTAGGGGGCCTGAAATAGAGCCTTGGGGGACGCCATAGTAGGCTTCATGGATCTGCGAGGTGCATGTATTGATTGATTGATTGATTGATTGATTTTTTTTTTTTATTGTCAATTCTGCATATGTACAGGACATACATAGAAATTGAAATTGCGTTACACTCCTACTCAAATTGCAGCAAACAACAACATTAGCAAAAATAAACTAACACAACTAGTTATATAAAAAAATATAAAAATATATAAAAGTGAACAGCAGCAGGACCTCTGATGCAACTGATGTATCCATACTTACCATAAAGGTTCTATCTGTGAGATAGGAGTTGAACCACAGAAGAACAGTACCAGAAAGACCGACCAGGTGTTTTAATCTATTTAGAAGAATTTGATGATCTACTGTATCATGGGAAAAGCTCTGCACGTTCATTGGCTGGGCAAGTTTTGCTTTCTTTATGGCACATGTAGGTTCTGGCTGTTAGCAGTGTGAGCACCAAACTTTGAATGTGGTGTTTCGTGCTTTCAGCAGGAGCCGCACCTCCCCCGTGGTTTTCAGTTGGCCCCGGCTGTGAAAGTTCTGCTGGTACTGACACCTTCCATGCACTTCTGGATGTAAGCAGTCACAGATGTTGCATACTCATTCACACAGAAGTTCTGATTAAGTGTTGCTGCTCTTTTGAACATGTCCCAGTCAGGTGCAACCAAAAGTCTTGAAGAGCTTCCATAGCCCCCTCTCATACCTGTTTGTCCCTGATTAGCATGGGCTGGTATGCTGAAATTAGCATGACAGAGCAGTGACCTGATGATCCTGGGTGGGGGTGGGGTGTTGCCTTGAAAGCTTCTTTGATGTTGCTGTAGTTCCAATCCAAGCTCCTCTTGTTGCAAAGCCTACAAACTGATGAAACTGAGGAAGAACTCAAAAAACGTTCAATACAAAAATGAGGAAGAACTGTTTTCAGGTTTGCATGGTTAAAGTCTTCAGCAACAATAAAAACTCCATCTGGTTGTGAACTTTGCAGGTCATTGATAGAATTGTAGTTTTCAGAGCATTCTTGGTATTGGCACTGGGGGAGGATGTACCCTGCTGTGATGCTAACAGAGGTGAACTCCCGCCTGCGTTAGAAACTCAACAGAGCAGTGGTTGGAGATGATATTAGCATTCATACACCAGTTATTGTGTGAATGTTTATGAAGCATTCACACTGTTGTGATCCGTTTTTCTTCCATATGATTTTTGGTATCTTTCTCGTTCCACAATTTTTGTGTTATTTCAACAAATCATATAACAAAACGTTCAGGACAGTCCTACTTTTGGTGCAACTTTAGCTTTTTCTGCCCCTTTTTTTTTCTTACAGAAAATGAATTGAGGTTATTTTACATTCTTCATATCTTTAGACATGTTTACAACCTTTACTGCTCCTTTCACATTTTGTTCTGGTTCAGCTTCTTTCAGCTTCCTTGTGCAAATTTAAAAAAAATTCCAGCTACTTTCAGCTGCTTTGTGCTCGTTTCAGGTTTTTTTCTGATAACTACATTTTTGTGCTTCTTCTAACTGTTAATTTCAGCTTGTTATGCTCCTTTCAGCTTATTTCTGCAGGTTTAAACTTTTTTCTATTTCAGCTAATATTTAGCTGTTTTATGCTAATTTTAGCTTTTTTCACATTTTTTGCTCCACTTCCTTCTGTGATTTAAGCTTTTCTGCTTTTTAGCTACTTTTCAGCTTTTTTTGTGTGCCAATTTCAGCTTTTTTCAGATAAATCCCACTTTTTGTGGTCATTTCTTCCTTCAGCCTAATTGGGCAAACGTGTTCTTTCTGCAATTTAAACTTGTCTACCTTTTCAACTTTAGCATCTTTAGCTAATTCCAGCTGTTTTCAGATAAAGTCAAGTTTTTCATGGTAATTTCTGATACTTTCAACCTAACATCGTATGTTAATTTAATCTTGTTACGCTCCTAGCTTCTATTTAGCTGTTATGCTTAAATTTAGCTTTTTCAGCTAATTCCACATTTTTACCTAATTTCAGCATTCCGCTTCCTTCTGGTAGTTTAAACTTCTGAGTTTTCTGCTTCTTTTTGCTGATTTCAGCTTTTTTAAGCTAATTTCCCAATTTTTGTGTTCATTTCTGCAAACGTAAACCTAATTCAGCAAATATACGTTTGTTCTGCTTTCTTCTGCTACTTTAGGCTTGCTCTTCCATTTCAGCATCTACAATTTCAGCAAGTCCTGCAATAAGCATTCACATTACATTTTCAAAGGAAATGCAATTTCTCTAGTTATTCATGTAGACGCATACACCGCCACCCCGAGTTTTTCCTATCAGCTCACGGTCTCTGTCCAGCTAGAATGTTGTTAGCCCCTTCAGGCTAACAGAATGGGATGGACGAGGTTAACCATGTTTTCAACAGTGCATTTTAATTACATACAAGCTCAACTGGATCCACATCGAGGGCAATGAAGACCAGATGAGCCTTCTTCCTCTCCAGAGAGGTAACAGTGTTCACACCTGCACGAAGGACAGGCCTTTTGGTGGGAATGTCTCCTTTCCCAGCAGCCTCTTGTCCTGCTTGATCTCTGGACTGTTCAGTTGAAAGTCTCTTGGACTTATGGGTAAATATAGGTTTGAAACAAATGCATGGTTTATTTGCATGCCTATCTGTTGGTAAACCATAAAAGTGCTTACAATTAATCTAAAAAAGTTAAATCTGGTCCTCTGGACATTAAAAAAAACAAAAAAAACAAAGCAAAACAATAAAAAATGTAGAAACGTTTCATCTCTCATCCAAGAGACTTCCTCAGTCTGAGGAGCTGTATTCAGCTCAGTCTCTTAAATAGCACCTTCTCAGAGTGGATCAACCAGTTTTGCTGCTGACAACCAAAACCAGCTGATCACATGCTCAAGAAGGACCATCAGCCTAACAATGGATCATTAGCACACTGATGGCTGTTTACTACTCACAGAGGGCTGAGTGAGACTAGCAATCACAGCATTGTAAGAGGGGGACAGTTGAACACGGAGGCCTCCACCCCTGTTTAATGATGGACGATTTCTTTTCACAAAGATGGCCTCCTTTACTCCTCTCTCAAACCATCGTTCCTCTCTGTCCAGGATGTGCACATCTTCATCCTTGAAAGAGTGACCGCTGGCCTGGAGATGAGTGTAGACCGCAGAGTCCTGGCCTGATGATGTTGATCTTCTGTGCTGGGCCATCCTTTTGGCCAGTGGCTGTTTAGTTTCCCCGATGTAAGACTGATCACAGCCCTCCTGACACTGAACAGCATACACAACATTACTCTGTTTGTGCCGGGGGACTGGATCTTTGGGATGAACCAGTCTTTGCCGTAATGTATTTTGGGGTTTAAAAGCCACTGGGACGTTATGTTTAGAAAATAAACGTCTCAGTTTCTCTGATACTCCCTCAACATATGGAATGACCACTGGTCTGGGTTCCTCCTTTTCACCTGTTGGCTGACTGGAGTCCTGTTTGGGTTTCTTCTCTGCTTTTAGGAAGGCCCAGTTAGGATATCCACATTGCTCTAGAGCCTGTTTTGTGTAGGATTTCTCCTTCTGCCTGGCTCCCGAGTTAGTGGGGATGCTGTCTGCTCTGTGATACAGAGTCCTGATGACTCCTAACTTGTGCTCCAAAGGGTGATGGGAGTCAAACTGCAAATACTGGTCTGTGTGGGTGGGTTTGCGGTACACCTCAGTTTGCAAATGTCCTCTATCAGAGACTGAGACCTCACAGTCCAAGAAAGCCAACCTGCCATTTTTTACATCTTCTCGTGTGAACTTGAAGTATTTATCCACAGAGTTGATGTGGTCAGTAAAATGTTGGACTTCCTGAGATTTGATTTTAACCCAGGTGTCGTCAACATACCTGAACCAATGACTTGGTGGTGACCCTAAAAAGGACGTCAAGGCTCTCTTTTCTACCTCCTCCATGTACAGGTTGGCAACAATAGGATAAACTGGAGACCCCATAGCACACCCATGTTTCTGCCTATAATATTGCTCCCCATATGTGAAGTAGGTTGATTGCAGGCAGTTTCAAAAGTTGACAGTTGTTCTGTGGAAAGCGTGGTCCTGCTGCTCAGAGTGGTGTCTGATTTTAATTTTAAACTGACCACCTCTACTGCATCAACAGGAATGCACGTAAAGAGTGATGTGACATCAAAAGAGACCATTGTTTCATCAGTCTCCATGATGACATCCCTCACCTTACCCACAAAGTCCATGGTGTTCTGTATGTGGTGTTCTGAGCTGCCAACTAAAGGGATGAGTACAGACGCCAGATATATGGAAACATTATAAGTGACAGAGTTAATCATGCTAACGATTGGTCTTAAAGGTACACCTTGTTTGTGGATTTTAGGTAAACCATACAGACTAGGTGTGGCCTCCCCTGGGTAGTCTGTGGTACAGAAAACGGTCAATAGCCTTGTCCTGCTCAAAACATTTTCAGGCAATCAACTTCTTAGCCACTTCCTGGATCTCTTTTCAGAGGTTAAGTCACTAAGGAGTGTCATAACTTTCTCATGATAGTCTTTCTGGTTCAAAATCACTGTGCACCTTCCTGTCTGCTGGGAGAATGATGATGTTTTTGTTCTTGCTAAGAGTGGTGAGTGCATCCCTCTCCTCTACCGATGTTGGAAGACAAAACATTTCTAGTTTCTGGTTTTGCCATGTTTTGTTTTTTGAATGTCCAGAGGACCAGACTTATTAACCTTTTTAGATTTTTCTACCTGGATTATTGAGCATGCATCAGGATGCTTACAATTAAATTAAAAATGTAGTTTTATCAGTTTTCTTCTTGCCTCCAGGCAGATGTGCTGCGTGGAATCTGAAAATAGTTTTAATATGTTCTTGCCATTTTTTGTTACTGTATGGTTGAATATTAATTTAAAACAAAGGGAAAAGAGCAATAGAGTTGAGTAATCAATTTTATTCAAATTTCTAAACAGTACACAAAGATAGAATACTCAGAAAAGTTTAGTCATAACTGTGCGTATTAATAATCTTCCAGCCGTCACTAGCATCCACGTCTGGGAAGAGTGACCAAGCTGGAGGGAGGTATTATGGTAACGTTCACATTAACTCAGGGTGAGGTAATTGGGTCAGTAAGCTCAGAGTAAGCCTACAGCTCAGACAGAATGTTGGGAGCGAGACTGCAGGTCAGCCCGCTGCCATCAGGCTCCACGTAGAGCTTCTTCACAACGCCGTCTTCCACCAACATTGCATACCTGAAAACAATAAACAGGATTTGGAATCACCATTTTTACTCAAAATAAATGAAAAACAGCTGTACAGCGTAATAGAAGTCTAAAATCCATGCGACATATGGCAAAACAAACTTTTACCTCTTTGAGCGCTTGTTGCCCAGTTTCTGCACAACCTGATCAGTGTCGAGCAGAAGGTCAACTGCCTAATGAGCAGGAACAAAAAGACAAATGAGAACCCAATCACAAGACTTGAAAGTGAACCGAAACAAAGCAGACATTCGTTTTTACCTTCGTAAAGGCTCCTGTGGGGTCGGCCAGCATTCGAACCTGGAGAATAAAGCAGTGAAAGGATCAACCTTTTCAATCTTAAAAACCATGTAAATATATCACGTCTCTAAGAATGTTTCTGTGTAATCAGTCCACCCTCCCATTTTTCAATAACGTCAGTTAAAGTCAGAGTCAGAGTTTCTTTATTGTCATTCGCACCTCATGTGGTACATGTGGTGGAGCGAAATTATGTACACGGGGTCCCAGTTACATCCGACAATAAAATGTATAAGAAAAACAGTAATAACATCTAAGATATGAACTAAGAAAAACATCAACTAAATATACACTAAGCACTCATAACATAAAACATTGAACATCAGCACAAACATGAACATGAGTCTGTGAGCAGATGTGCACGCATGAACACATCAACATTGAAACAGATCAGCAGCAACATGATATGGTTTTTCACAGTGATTATTCTAGTTAAATGGAAGTTTCTAGAGTTTCTACTGCGGTCTATACCTTGCCATCGGCTCCATGCTCCTTTCCCCATGCAGCCATGACGAACGCATCATTGACAGAAATGCACGCAATCTCCTCGATACCTTTGCTCCTCAAGTCTTCAGCTTTCTGCACAAAGCCTGGCAGGTGAGTCTGAAAGAAAAAACAATACAAGGTCATCTTTTTACAATAATCGTGCACAGGACATTTTAAGAGTGTGGCTTCACCTTGGAGCAGCCAGGAGTGAAAGCTCCAGGGACAGCAAACAGAAGTCCCTTTTTGCCCTTAAAAAACTGATCCATGGCCACCTTGTTTCCTGGCTCGCCCTCCTGCACCTCCACTGCAGGAAGAGATTCACCGATCTGAAAATGATTGTGGAGAGAAAAAAAGAAAAAATCATGACTTAGTTTTTAATATAATGCATGCACTTGGGTTATTCCAAGTGTTGTTACTGTAATGAATATCAAAATGCCAGCAGAGCAACTCAGAATTTACCATTTCTATTATTCAAATTATTTTTTAATGGGATACAATCATCTGTTCAGCCATTTGTAAATCAATATTACTTAAACATCACCGGTACTGTGTAAATTAAGAACATGCAACTCCAGAGACTTCACTGTTCACCACCCTGTTAACAAACTAATGTTTGTAAAGCTTAAACATTTCAATAACTTTCCACAAATGATGCATACCGGCCTTGAATGCACTGGACTAAAAACTGGAAGAAAAAAAAATAAATAAAAAACAACAACAACAACAACAACAACAACAACAACAACAACAACAACAACAACAACAACAACAACAACAACAACAACAACCCATAAAAACAGCTGCCTTTTTTAATGAAGCTTGGAAAATCTTTGTATATTGATGTAACAAAGTTAAGTAGTCTGGACGGATGCAAAAAGTAAAAATTGTTGATAAGGATACTTTGCATATTGAATTTTAGTTGCAAAAGGATTTCTAAAAAATGGCCACTAGAGGGCGACAAACCCACCAGATTTAGACTGAAATGACCAGATTCCTAAATTTGCATGAAAAAGACGGACACGTGACGCATGTTTACCTTGTTTACTCCCTTAAATGAAAAACAAACAAAAAACACCGCACTTTTTAGACAATTATAAATATTAATATAGTTAAAACAAACTTTTAACGTTACACCGAAAAGCAGAAATATAAAAGCACTTACGTCTTGTTAAAAAAAAAAAACAACTTACGTTGCATTTTGATTGTGCGTACGAAAAGATAAATGTAAAAGCTGTTTAAAATAAGCTAAATGATTCTGAACATCAAAGATTCACACTATTAGAGCAGATATTGTAAAATCGTTTCATGCACAAAACACTTAGTCGAGTTGTGTCTGAAGGAAAGTTACGTACACTTAAAAAGCTGCGCACTTTTTATTGTCACATAACGGACCTCGTGGCGACGGATTAAACTGGAATAGTTAGCAGCGAGCTAATGCAGTTGACTTTACACTCATCTTTGCCTAAACTAGAAGAAATGGCTAACTTAAAGGTTAGTTACCTGAATTGGCATTTTGGTGACTGGAGAGTAGTGAAGCTGCCTTCTGATGCTCTGAACGACTCGGGTGGTTCTGAGGAGAGAGGCCGCGATGAAACTCATTTTATAGCTTGCTCAACCGGAAGCTAGCTCTGTTAGCAGAGTTATGTCTTTCAACATCTGGGGGAGTGTACTATGTCAGTGGTACACACACAACGTGTGTACGTTCAGACCGGACTGTCACAGTTAGCTTTATTAGCTATAGCTGCGGCTGAATGTCGTATTTTGGGGTGTTTGCTAGTACTTAATTTAGCTTACAGACAGGCTGGTTAAATCTTTATAAACTGCGCCATTTGCTAACAAAACGCCTCTTATTAACACTGTAATTTTACAGAAATCTCCCCCCAATGCACACAGTTACATTTGTATTCCTCTAAATAAGACGGGTAGTTCAGTTCTGTTTAGTTAAATAGATTTCATAAGAGTACTACTAAGTGTCAGTGTTGCAATGCATTGTGGTCTAGATATATTCAAACGTATTTCCGGTTATTGTTTGCCGTAGACGAACATCCGGGTATTAATCACGTGAACACATTTTTTTAAGGAGGCTGGTCTGGGAGGAAACTTGAGGAAAAAAAAGATTAGTATTATTTTTTTTTAAACAAGTCTCTTAACAAAGTATAAATGCAGTTATTATCAATATATATTAGAACAAATGCCAGGCGGATTATTTAAGTAAATATTTTAAATAAAGTGCACAAATCAAATGTTTTCATAGCATTTTTGTTATTGGTCTGAGATGTTTACACTGTTCATGGAGTGACTAAACTTCGATTTGTGTATGTGGTATTTCCCATTAGATTTATGATTCTGTTTTTTGCTTTTGCTATCATGGAGTCCAAACAGTACATGGTCCAACCTAAACAGAAATCAGTTAGTCTTGGTTTGGACATACCGGATAACTTCTGTCCAGGAGGTGGCAGCAGTGTGAAAGAGCCAGAACAGATGTTTCATATTTCAGGCTCAGACTCACATATACAGAACAGTTCACACATCTTTCTTAAAATGTAACATGTACTGCTTATCAGAGTAATATCTATGGATTGATTTATATGAGACCTCTCTCACTTTGTTTATAAAGAAGTATCTATAAGGCAAGTTTCACACACTGACCCAGTTCAGAGACCATTTATAATACCAGCCCAGTATTGAACCACATAGGGGGTAGTAGTAATAACTGTGTGAACTAATGACCTAAAATAGTGATTAATATTTCTGGATTTGACATGAAAACATATATGACACACACTCCCTGTGGCTCAATCAGGCTAACCTGTATAAATAAAGGTTGAATGAATGATTGTCCCATTCTTCTTTGCAGGACATCTCAAGCTCCATCATGTTAGATGGGAGACATCTGTGCAGCCATTTTCAGATATCTCCAGAGATGTTCAATCAGATTCAAGTCCTGAGTCCTGGCCACTCCAGGACCTTCACAGAGTGGTTCTGAAGACACTACTTTGAGATCTTGACCATGAGCTTTGAGTCGTTGTCTTGCTGAAAAATGAGCCGTCGCTCCAGTCTGAGGTCAAAGTGCTCTGGAGCAGGTTTTCATCCAGGATGTCTCTGTACATTGCTGCATTCATCTTTCCCTCTATCCTGACTAGTCTGCCAGTTTCAGATGGTATTGTCCTGGTGATGAGCAGTGCCTGGTTTCCTCCAAACATGGCACCTGGCATTCACACCAAAGAGTTCAATCTTTGTCTCATCAGACCAGAGAATTTAGTTTCTCGTGGTCTGAGAGTCCTTCACGTGTCTTTATTAAAGAGTGGCTTTTGTCTGGCCACTCTCCCATACAGGCCTGGTTGTAGGCCTGTATTCTGCTGCAGAGATGGTTGTCCTTCTGGAAAGTTCTCCTCTCTCCACAGAGGAACGATGGAGCTCTGACAGAGTGACCAGAGTATGTAATCTCAGAGCATGTAATTTCAGAGTGAGAGATTACATAAATTAGACAGTGACTGTTCAAATTAGTGTGAATCGACAATCTTCGATTTGTCTCATCTTAAACAGCAGGATGCTGAATATATTGAATATTAACACTTAATGAAAAGCTTTACAACTGTGTTATTAGAAAATAAGTCTTACGTGGACTCTTTTGTACAAGTGTACGCATCTTTGTTGGGGAACACCATTGTTGAGATGTGCTGTAGGAGTGACAGGTGGAGGTGGGAGTGCATCAAGGATCGGCTCTGAGTCTTGGTGAAGGACCGACCAACAGATGAGGTCAGACAGGAATCCCTGTGGACTATGATGTTTGCAGATGACATTGTGATCTGTGGTAAGAACAGGTAACAGGTGGAAGAGAACTTGGAGAGGTGGAGGTATGCACTTGAAAGAAGAGGAATGAACGTCAGCCGTAGTAAGACAGAGTACATGTGTGAATGAGAGGGAGGCTGGTGGAACAGTGAGACTACAAGGAGCAGAGGTCACAAAGGTGCAGGACTTCAAGTACTTGGGGTCCACTGTCCAGGAACACGAGGAGTGTGATAAAGAGATGAAGAAGAGAGTCCAGGCAGGATGGAGTGGATGAAGAAAAGATTCAGGAGTGATTTGTGACAAAAGGGTGTCAGCAAAGGTCGAAGGAAAAGTTTACAAGACAGTGGTGAGACCAGCTATGTTGTATGGTCTGGAGACAGAGACATGGACAAAAAGACAGGAAGAACTGGACGTGGTAGAAATGAAGATGTTGAGGTTCTTCTTAGGAGTAACAAGGATGGATAAGATTAGGAACGAGATCATCAGAGGTACAGCACAGGTTGAACAACTGGGAGATAAAGTTAGAGAGACCAGACTGAGATGGTTTGGACATGTCCAGAGGAGGGACAGTGGTTTGGACATGTCCAGAGGAGGGACAGTGGGTATATTGGTAGAAGGATGTTAGAAATGCAGCTGCCAGAAAAAAAGACAAAGAGGAGCTATATGGATGCAGTTAAAGAAGACATGGAGGTAGTTGGAGTGAGATGGAGGAGGATGATTCACTGGAGACACTGAAGAGGGAAAAGATGAAAGAAAACAGATGTTTAAAAAAGTAAATAAGATTTTTGAATAAAACGTTGTTTGAAAAAAGTAGTTATTTAGTAGCACATTCAAAACTATAAGTAGTCAGGGTCATAGAAAAGCTTTATGAAACATTTGTTTCATTGAGCACCTTAAATGTCTCACATTAACTCCCTTTTAAGAACTAATGTTTACGTCTACTTCTCATGCTCAGCTGCATGTGAGGGTCGCAGTGAAGAAATTAGCTGCGTGTTGTGTAACCATGCTGTGTTGAATCATAATGAGCTGTGTGTTGAAACAACTTTGCAGATGCAGATTAACCTCGCGGCTGATAGGGAGCGGACAGTACGTGTGTGCAGAAATAGATAAGCCAGCATCTCCAACTGGAACCATTAAGAAGGAACATCAGGCGCTTGTCTTCCCACTCCCGCCTGAAAACAATGAAACCGTCCTTGTGGTCTTTGAACGTATAAAACTACAGGCTGTGACTTGCTCCTCCCTGCGAGAACTTATTAAAACTGATCCACTCAACTGGAGAAGTGTCTCCATTTGTGTGTATTTTCCCAGCAGTCATTGATGAAAACGTTGAACGGTATGTGCACAATGATCAGAAAGCTGTGAGCAGCAGCGTTCACACGCACAAACATCCATAAAAAGATGAGTCCGTCGACATTTGGTGGTGGTGTGTCCATTTATTACACAACACAAAGCACCTACAGAATCCACCCCCTGTAGCATCAGACAGCGGAAGACCTCACTTTTTTCCTTTCACAGTGAGTTTAATGTGAACATGTTTAGACAAGGACGGCAAAGTTTCATCTATAAAAAAAAACAAAAAAAAAAAACGCCTACACAGAAATACACAGCCAGCATCACACACAAAAATAAAGCAGTGTCAAACAAACAACAGTTAATTGAGTAAAAAATAGAATTTAATCATTTAAATACTCTTCAAAATACAAACATTGATTTGAATCTCTAAATAAGATAACATTAAGTAGTTTTTTTTTAATCGTTGTAACTGGCAATGTTAAATGTACACTGTGGCTATACAAGGAAATGTGTGAGGTTTGGTAACTTGTATTGCTCATTTATATTAATGTGCACATTTAGTAATACAAATGACGGAACAGCGACACAGCGGGGCCCAAAAACAACATGTAGGACAACGTAGAGCTTACATTTGACCCTGGCATCGATGTTTGCCTTGATAAAAGGTTTTTCCCTGCGGTTACAGACCAGAGACATTTCAGCAGACGGATGGAACTCGTGGAAACGAAAGCAAACGTCAAAATTGAGTCCCATTTTGTCGGACGTCGATACCATCTCTGCAGCGGCTGCTTACACCGTACCTGCAGCTAAAACACGATCCATCTTTCAAAGCAGAACTGATACATGCAGTCAGAAACAGAAACTTAGGTTACAAAAAAATTTGATCTATCCATTATCGCCACAGGTACTGGGCCGTGCGGCCGATGCTGCCTGTCCTCACCTTACAGCCATTTAGATTGATCCCTAAACTAGCGGGTAGCCCTGGAAAACAAAACGTTTTTAAAAACAAATGGCGCTGAATGAAAAGACTAATTTCAAACCCAGTCATGGTGTGAAATTGTTTCAAGTCTTAAACATCAGCGCTGTAAGCTGCACAAAGATCTTCGTAATGGGGAGTCTGTATTACATCTGCTGGCTTTAATACCTTCCACTACAAATTGCATCTTTTTACTTATATGGAACTGTACATGGCTAAAAGAGTAATAACCATTTGGCCACTACATTTTTTTTAATAAATCTGACTTTTTTTAAACATCAGATATTGTTTTCCACTGAATCTTAAGCTATAATGATCATTTATACTGCAACTGTACAAACATTTTGAAGAAAGAGCGGGACGTTCTCTGACGCGTTTTCAACATCCAAAAGGAAAGATGTTGCATAAGTTGCATTTCTTGTAGCCCTGAGCCCATTCCAGGGCACAAGTTCGAGTTCAGTAGATGTGCATCCACAGGCGGAAGAGGAGGGATCTCGAACCCAAACGTTCGAGATCGTTTACGCGAGCTTCGTTCCTGCTGCAGAAAATGCAGCCAAGTCTCACACAGATCAGTCATAGTGTTAGGTTTTCGCCCGCATGAAGAAAAGAGGACGGTTTCTCGTTTTCTTGTTGTCGTTTTAAACACAGCAGCAGAGGTCATCGTGTGGTTTGAGTGGAGGAGGGGAATATAAAAAAAGCAGATGAGGCTTGTACATTGCTTTTCTAATCGCCGTCAAAAGTTGTAAAATGAGAGTTGTGGTCTTCCCTGATCTCACTGAGTGCACGTGGCCACAAACGCGCATGCTGGAAGCCAGATTTTAACGCGTCTTAAGGATTTTTCTACAGCGCCACCTTTAAAAAGTCCTCCAGCACGCATCATGGCTCCCAGTCCACCAGAACAAAGCAGTTTGGTCAGGGATGCAAGGGTTCAGAAATACTCAGGCCTTGGGGTCCAAAGAGTGAAGAATAACAAATACACACAGACTAAAGGACAACCGGTTATTCTTCTACAGTTTGAATGAGACAGACAATAATATTGCTTTTAAAATATTGCGAGTGATTCCTATGGTTTGCCTACAATGCCACGCTAAGCTAAAGCAGATCAAAAAGCACTACATGTGCATTTCTCCTTTTTGGACCCTCAAGCCTTTTGTCAGATATGTTAATATGGCTTTTATGTGCAGATGTAGCATTATTTTTTTAAAGTTCAAAAGCTACACAAATACAGTCTGTTCTTGGGTACCTAAAGGTCGTCCTTAAGTGGTTAAATTACTGCAGATTGATGCTGCGATGAACATGAAGGAGGTCAAATATTACACCATGAAGCCTTCAGCTGAGGTCTGGCTCTTACATCTTTATGTAAAAAGCCAGTTCTCACTTAAAATGTGAATAAATAAGCCGTTCCTTTGTTTTTGTTTTTAACTTTCCTTCGTTTACTCTGCCAAAAACAGAAAAGCATTTTTTCCTCATTAATAATTCTCTCGTAAAAGCTTTCCTTTTTTATACACCACTCATCCACTGTAGAAGACCAGATCTCTGTTGGGTCCTAAGATCCTCGAGAATTCTTCAGCTCTACGGAGAGTCCATCATGGCTTCCAGCATCTCCAGAAACAGTTTGTGCATGGGTACACCCCCACGGGTCTTGATGCTGTAGAAGGTGGTGAGGGCGCGGCCGGCAGTCTGTCGGAGGAGAGGCAACGTTAAAAGAAGGCGTCCCACCCGCTGAGGGTCGTCGGGGCGTCGCTGGCACTCCAGCTCCAGCAAGGCCTGATGGAGGAGGTCCCGCAGCTTCTGCACGGCGTCCATGTCCTCGATGTAAACAGAGTCTGAAATCACAGCAGGACAGTCATGGTTAGACCAGCGGTTCTCAAACCTTGTTTTTTTTTTGTCAGGCTGCCCCCCTTTGGAGACAGAAAGTTGTCCAGGACTCCACACCCACAGGACGCAAAACCAAAAATTAACAATGCAGGAAATACTACGTGTTCACTACATGAATTACATTTTTTAAATTGAATCCCTTTGAGTGAATTTAAGTAATTCAGGGCAAAAATCTGTCAGTCTGGAAAATAAAAGTGGCTGTTTTAATTTATTTGGACTTACTGTGCAACCATTTTTCACCTTTATCCTCTCAGTCCACTCTCATCCACAGTGGATAAGGAAAGAAAAGTTCTATCAAGGTTATAACACATTACAAGGGTTGTTTTGTTTGAAAATAATATATGGACTTTGTGTGACTAAAAGTACTTGAACATAAAATAACAGCATGATTGGTAATGAGACAAGTGCAGGAAACAAACAAATGGCCAGAATTAATGTAAAATATGCACATTATATTACATTTATGATCTTTAAATGTGTTGCATTGATCACAGTACAGTTATGTCACGGCATTTTTACAAATATAGACCACATTAACACATTCAAATCGCAAAAACATTTTTCTTCGTTATAATCGTGTGAAATACTAAAAACTGCAGATGTGTATGATAAACACATGAAACAGACACTTTCACCAAGAGCACATCATGTTTTTAAAATAAATCCATAAAAGTGAAGTGAAGAAATACCTTCTCTCTAATCTTGGTCAAACAAATATGTCTTAATGTTTCTATTGTTTAACTAAAGTAACTACAGGAGCAGAAACACCACAGGCTGAGCCCTCCCTCGGCGACTGGTGCATTGTTGTGCACTATTAGTGCTTAGCGTATTTCTTGGTTTATATCTTAGATCTTTATTACCGTTTCTTTATACAAATTATATTTTTGCTGTTGTTGGATATAACTGGGACCTTGAGTACAGTAGTCCCTCGTCACTTCGCGGTTCGTTTTTCACGGACTTGTGCTACCGCGGCTTTTCAAAGTAAGACTGGACATGACACAAAATTGGCTGATTGATGGATGAGCTGCCTGACCTGCATGGATTTTTTATTTAAGATAAATTATTTTAAATGATTTAGCATGATTTGTGCAGCCCACATCTGCGGGAGAAACTTCCTTCTGCAACTGATCAGCTGATCTCTGTTCTGCAGCAGAGAAGTGGGCGTGGCCAAGAGCGCAGGCAGGTGGCAGAGAACTGAGATCATGACATTCTGTGCTCTTTTAGAGCGTTTAGTTTAGAAACATTGTTTAGAATATTGCAAGAGTGTGAGATGGGTTTAAAATGCCTTTATATATATATATATATATATTACTTGTACTACTATTCGTACTTCGCGGTTTTTCTCTTCTCGTGGGGCTTCAGGGTACGGATCCCCTGCAAAAAACTATGGGACACAATTTCGTTCCTCATGTACCACATGTGACGCGAATGATGATAAAGAACCTTGAACACTTTTTGGTACAACACCTGTGAACTTTTAGAAATGACGCAAGCTTGGAGGCGTGGAGGAAAACTCAGCTCCTTGTGAAGCGACGTCTCCCTGTTAGCCTACAAAGTTCAGTCAGGTCCTCTGGACGATTTGTAAAAAATCCGTTTTTTATACCTGGATTATTGAGCATGAATCAGGATATCTCCCTGTTATACTTAATAAAACACCATGTATTAGCTAAATTTAAAGATCCTGGATTAAAGAAAAACAACAAATATAACAGATGAATCTGTCGTTTTGTGTCCTGGGTTAGACAGACGCTGGGGGTTAAACAATCTTAGCTTTGTCACAGGACTGTAAACGATGGTCCTCAAAGCTAATAAAGCATGCTGCTTTTGACAGCTGTAAACTCCCTCACGTCGTCTTTTACTGTTTACCATTTATCTATATTGTCCTCTTTTTTAATTGTTTTCACTTAACAAGTGTAGCAATAGTGAAGAAACAGTGACTTATTTCTTTTATACGAGGGTGTTTCTGTTCCTCCATTTTGTAAAAACATTGCAAAATCAGTGTCTGCTGGTTGTTTTAATGGGCTTTATTTCAGAAAGGCTGATGTTACATGCCTCTGGTTTAGCAGGTAAAATGTAAAAATTTTTTTATAGTGTTATCATCAACATTATATAATTCACAATACATATGTGAAGACGTGGCTCTGAATTTTGACTGGACCTTTGCAGTCCCTAGATGCTTTCCTTTGTCAGTTATTTTGTTGTTGGTTTGCTAACATGATGGGGATCACTGTCCAGTTTCATGTGCATTATGGGTAAACAGCTCTACTTGGGTCTTACAGGCCACAGGACATTGTTCCAGAAGTCTTGTGGTTCATTCAGATGTAACTTTGTTAACCCAAGTCATGCCGTCAGGATCGTTTTACAGACGAGGCTTTCTCTTAGCCATCATTCTAAACAAGTTGTACTTGTTCAGTCCGTTTTTTTTTTTTTCCCCCTTCTGAACTTTAAACTTTAACTTGCTAAATGTGAGGACTGCAGAGTATGAGATTTGTCTTTTGCAATTTCTGAGCATTGCACAATCTGGGCGGACTTTTTGTTTCACCATGACTGTACAAACTGCACCCGTCTAAGTAATGACTCTGTACTGACAACTTTCTTCTACTGAAGGAGATCTGATTGCATTACATTTAGTTACTTCACCACACCAACCTTTTGTAGTTCTTCTGTTACTGTGTGTTGAGCTAATCAACTAAATTTCTACAATTACAGGTGCTGGTCTTAAAATTAGAATATCATTTAAAAGTCGATTTATTTCAGTAATTTCATTCAAAAAGTGAAATTTGTATATTATATTCATTCATTACACACAGACTGATAAATTTTAAATGTTAATTTATTTTAATGTTGATGATTATAACTGACAACTAAAGAAAACCCCAAATTGAGTATGTCAGAAAATTAGAATATTGTGAAAAGGTATTGAAGACACCTGGTGTCACACACTAATCAGCTAATTAACTCAAAACACTTGCAAAGGCCTTTAAATGGTCTCTCAGTCTAGTTCTGTAGGCTACACAATCATGGGGAAGACAGCTGACTTTGTCCAAAAGATGGCCATTAACACGTTGCACAAGGAGGGCAAGACACAAAAGGTCATTGCTAAAGAGGCTGGCTGTTCACAGAGCTCTGTGTCCAAGCACATTATTAGAGAGGTGAAGGGAAGGAAACAATATAGTAGAAAAAAGTGTACAAGCAATAGGATAACTACACCCTGGAGAGGATTGTAAAACAAAACCATTTCAAAATGTTGGGGAATTCATAAAGAGTGGACTACAGCTGGAGTCAGTCAGTGCTTCAAGAACCACTACGCACAGACGTATGCAAGACATGGATTTCACCTGTCACATTCCTTGTGTCAAGCCACTCTTGAACAAGAGACGGCATCAGAAGCGTCTCGCCTGGGACTGCTGCTGAGTGGTCCAAAGTTATATTCTCTTATGAAAGTACATTTTGTATTTCCTTTGGAAATCAAGGTCCCAGAGTCTGAAGGAAGAGAGGGGAGGAACAGAATCCACGTTGCTTGAGGACCTTAACCCCATAGAAAATCTATGAGGTATTGTGAAGAGGAAGATGTGATACATCAGACCCAACAATTCAGAAGATCTGAAGGCCACTATCAGAGCAACCTGGGCTCTCATAACACCTGAGAAGTGCCACAGACCGATCGACTCCAGGCCACGCCACATTGCTGCAGTAATCCAGGCAAAAGGAGCCCCAACTAAGTATTAGGGGAGTGGTGGCGCAGAGGTTGGAGAAGATGGGCCTGTGATCAGAAAGTCGCAGGTTCAACTCCCGGTACCATCAACATCAAAATGTGGGTGGAAAAGGTGAAACACCCACACCTGCCTCCACCCTCATTTGCCCCATTCTGGTCTCTATTGAAAATGAGTTCTCGTGACTCAATGAGACTACCTGTATAAATAAAGTGTCAATGAAAAAAAAGAAAAAAGAAATTGAGTGCTGTACATGCTCATACTTTTCATGTTCATACTTTTCAGTTGGCCAACATTTCTAAAAATAATTTTTTTAATTGGTCTCAAGTAATATTCAAATTTTTTGAGATACTGAATTTAGGGTTTTCATTAGTTGTCAGTTATAATCTCAACATTAAAAGAAATAAACATTTGAAATATATCAGTTTGTGTGTAATGAATGAATATAATATACAAGTTTAACTTTTTGAATGGAATTACTGAAATAAATCTACTTTTTCATGATATTCTAATTTTATGACCAGCACCTGTATGGATGGACAAGAGACATTTATAAAAGTACTAGTTTAGTTGTATTAGCGATAAGGAAACAAATGGTAAACCTGAAAAGTATACAACATTTACAATCTGACTCCAGCTCTAATCTATGATTTTAATATATTTGTTTTACCAGAGCTAAATAAGTGTTAGTCAAATTACCATTACTTGAGAGTAAAATCTAAAAACTCGAACACTGTTTCACTGCAATTCATTACCTGAGTTTGTAAGTGCGATGGCTTTTAGCATGACAAATTCCTCCCGGTCCACATTTAGTGCACGGAAACGGCGAGCAAGTTGACTTATTGCTGCGTTCAGCTCCGTCAGTCCAGCCGCACGCGACATCTCCTCATCGAGGACAAAATCCTCTGCGAACACCACCTCATCCTCACAGCCAAGCGAGCGGTACGCTACGCCCAGCACCAGCACCTCCAGCCACACCGACTGCAGCACAGACATCTGGTCTGCTAGAGACAGCGACAGGAAGCCTGCAGGACACACAGACACAGTACATATGAAGAGGATGCAACATGTACACACAACTTCTAGTTACAGTTGAGCACTGCTAGTCTAATGCTATGTACAAATGTATGAGTTCTGTGGGAGCTATCAGACCATTTACAAACCTCTCACAAACCAAACAAGATGTTTTCACAAAAACAAAATGACATTTTGATCTCTCAGAACTTCCATGCTTTTTAGGCAAATGATCTCTGCTTCACCTCCAAACCATGTTGGTTTTCTGGGTAAATATCCTCTCTAGTTTGAGCCCTTCTGCTTGAACTCAAACTTATTCTGTTTGCACAAAAAAATATTGTGTTTTTCCTCTGTTTGTGCTTCAAATTGTCAAAAACTCCTCAAAACAAAGTGCTGAACATTATATTGACATCACTGCCTCCATCAAGAGCTCACTTCACTGCACCTCCTCCAGGTGATTACTGACCATTTTCTGTTTGATTTGTTGTTGATGCATTATAATAATAATAATTATTATTATTATTATTGTGTTAAAGCAAGGTTAAAGGAGATAAGAATATATTTTCTGAGATTGTGTAAAGTCTAGGGTTACCATGTGAACAATGCACAAAATTAGCAATTCAAGACTTTTGTTTTTATTTTACTTTTTTATTTTTTAGGATAAACATCCATCCATCATCTTTACCTGCTTCTTCCTTTGCGGGTCGCAGGGGTCACTGGTACCCAGGGCATTAACAGAATACTCGAGTAATCTACATATCAATTGCTAGGACATCTATCGAGGTTAAAAATGTAACGTAGAGTATCCGTAGTGACGTCATATTGTGTGACCACCGTATGACTGTAGGGGGCGGTGTTGCACTGTTGCAGGTCACAGAGTATGGTGTAACACCGGGTCCAAGTTTCGTTTTTGACGTGCTGCATGTTTCTTCACGTTTGCAGTTTAATAATAATAACTAATAGTTTAGTTTTTCCTGTGACTTATTTGCAGTATGATAAATGGTAGGAGCATAATATATGTGCCCAATGTTTTGTTGGTCTTTTTTTGGTAAATAATTACCCTTTTTTGCCGTTTTAATTCATTTTTGTATCTTGAGATCTATGACGTCATCAAATACTCGAGTTCTACTCGGGTTTTATTATGTTAATGTCGAGTTTAAAAATTATATACTCGTTCAACCCCTACTGGTGCCCATATCCAGCAGTCACTGTGTGAGAGGTGGGGTAAACCCTGGACAGGTCTCCAGTCCATCACAGGGAATCAGCCTAACATGCATGTTTTTGGTGGGAGGAAACCGGAGTATCCGGAGAAAACTCACGCATGAACGGAGAGAACATACAAACTTCACCCAGCCGGACCAGGATTTGAACTGGCAACCTTCTCTGAGAGGAGTCTCTGAGAGGCTGTGTCTTTCCGAGCAACTGAGATCGGTCATGTGACTATTATGCACCGACTGACTCCAAAGGGAGAGAAAAAAAAATCTTCAGAGTAGGCGGCGGCAGACACTTGAGTAGGCGATGAAATCACCGCCCGCTGCCTGTTATAGAGAAGGCAGCTCTTTAAAGATCTTTAGCACATTCCCCCCCATGACATTTAGGCTAAGTTCACACACTGCAGGTCTTAATGCTCAATTCCCATTTTTGCTCAGATACGATGTCTTTACGTGGTTGTTCACATCATCATTAAAATATGACCTCAGTCAGACTTCAGTGTGAACCGTTTGGTTCTCAGGTGACCCCACACGATCAGGTGAAAACGTGACGTCACACGCAGCACGCTGTGCTTAATGTTATTATAAATGCTTCACATGTTAGAGTGTGTGATTCTGTAGTTGTTCCATCAGAATTCATTATATTGCTCTCAGACATGCTTGTTTGATCCAGTGTTTACATTTAATCTTGCCTATTGACGGCTCTTCCAATGCAGCATTTTATTTTTGTAACAGGAGCGACGTACTGAAGGTAGAAACTAACCTGTATCAACCCCATCACATTAGTATTGATACGGTCTGCCACTGTGGATTATCAGTCATCCAGGACATGGGGAATTAAAATAAAGATGAAGCAACTGAACCTAGGTTCTGTAACTGAATATGTGCCAAGTTCCAAGATTAAAACTGCACAAGGGTGGTATCATCATTATCATTATTATTATTATTATTATTATTATTAAGACTAGGATTGATCCGCTTACCACCACTTCAATGACATAAAAGTCAGACGAAATGACTGTTCAGACTGCAGACGCTTTGAAAAACATTGGCATGTATCCGATTCAGCACCACATGAAAAAGACCTGGGGTGAATTTGACAAAAGAAATCAGATTGATAAGGTTTTTAGACTGTCATGAAAAAATGTTATATGGATTGCATGGAGGCAAAACAAAACAGATTTGGGCAGCCTTTGCCTGCAGTGTGAGCGTAGATCTAGATAAGACGGTGTAAGTGCCATGACTTTGGTCAGCTCTCAGAATCAGACACTGGACGTTTATATTAATCACTATTCTAGTTATAGTCTTGAGTGAACCTGATACAGCTCACTGGCTCTTGTTCAGACATAATAAATCTTCTGCGTCTCTTGAATTGCCAACATATATACTTCTTGTTCTTTTATTGTCTGCATTTCTCACCAGGAATGTGTTTGGCCCAGCCGATGATCACAACCAGCTCGCGGTCAGCGAGGTCACACAGAGTGGTGAGAGTCCGCTGGGCCGTGTCAGGCTGCAGAGGGTCCGGCATGGCAAACAACTTTTCTGGCTCTGCCACCAGCAGATGGGACACGATAAAATTGGAGGAGCCTGCATCACAAAACACAGAACTACGAATTAACTGCAAAGTAAAATCAGAAACACAGATTACCAAAACATTTACTCTTTAAGCAAACCCAAAGAATTTCAGCTTTGAACAACAAAACATATCCAGGCTCCACATTCAGTTTCTGCAATTTCTCCATTTCAAGCAGAATCTTCAGACATCTTGTTAATATTATCATACAAATATTTCTATAAAAACACCACTGCCAGGTTTGTGCAACATAACTTAAATGTTTTTCTAAATAGCATTAAAAATGTGACAATTAGCAGAATATTTGCTGGAGTTTGACATGAAAAGCTGCACAAGTAAACATCAGAGGGCGCCATTTACCTCTAAAATTTTATTTTTTGTAGATGCTGTTTAAAGCCTCAATAGCTGTCAAAATACATCATTTTAGTGTGTTTTTAATTTTATTTTATTTTCATGCTTTAAAACACACAGGGCGACAATGGCTCAGTAGGTAGAGCTGCCGCCTCTCAGCAAGAAGGTCGCTGGTTCAAATCCCGGTCCGGGGTCTTTCTGGGTGGAGTTTGCATGTTCTCTCCGTGCATGCGTGGGTTTTCTCTGGGTACTCCAGTTTCCTCCCACAGACCAAAAACATGCATGTTAGGCTGATTGGTAACTCTAAATTGTCTCTAGGTGTGAGTGAGAGAGTGAATGGTTGTTTGTCTCGTTTGTTTTTGTGTCCCTGTGATGGACCTGTCCAGGGTGTCCCCCGCCTCTCGCACAGTGAATGCTGGACATGAACACCAGTGACCCCCATGACCCAAAAAGGAAGAAGCGTTTTAAGACGGATGCTTTAAACACAATTTCTACATCTATAAATGATTTATTGGAGGTTAATGTAACTCACCTTTATCAGATTTTAATAGAAACCGAGTTAGAAAAGAACAAATATTCCTTTGTTTACAACTAAATTCTGCCATTATTTATGGAAATTCTCCCCTTAAGAGTTTAAAATATCTCCTCGCAGCTCATTTGCATCTGATCTTAGCACCAGCTTGTGCTTTAATGCTCTCTACCACCCAAACCAACTCTACTTATGTCGACTGTCCCTAAAGCTTTCGGCTGACACTTTTTTCCCAGAAGAAAAGAACTTTACATTTTTGCTTTCGACCTGACATACGAGACTCCATTGTTCTCCAACTCATTTTACATCTGGGGGTTATTTTTAACATTTCAATATTCAACGCACACCAGACTGTCCAAAATGTACTTGCCAAAGTTTGAATGTAAGTACATTAATACATTAGTACATGTAATTGTTGACAATATGATTCTGACAATTTTGCTAATTTATTACATATTATGTGGTCGACTTTTAGTAGTGGATGATGCAGATTTAGAGATTATTTTTTATGATATTCATTACACATATACCCCCCCAAAAAAAGAAGAATTTCAGCAATAATTTCTGCATATGTATATATGTTTTTTTTCCTGACTTGCTCTCGACAAAGACGGACACTTTCTTTTCCCTCCCTGCCTCCCTCCTGCTTCTTGTGTCTATCATGTTGCTCTTTTTTGTGCTGAGGTAGTTTTTTTGCTGCCTCACACCGTGTCCTGTGTCACGGACACAGATTGAGTGATCTTTTTTTTTATACCTTCTTCTTTCCTCATGTTTTTTCTTCCCTTTTCTTAACTAAACAATAAGGGCAGCGCTTCACAGCAAAGCTGCAGCCCCCGTGCACCTCCGTCTACCCTTGTTTTCTTTGGATGGCTGCACTGTAGTGTATTTCCTTGTGCTTAACTGTGCAATGACAATAAAGTTGATAGTTGTTTCTGATATTGACAGCGATTATGGTGTTAAAGTTGTCAGGAGTTAGCAAGACAGTTTCGTAAATACAATTTTTGTTTTCAGTACTTGAATCGTACTGCACATCTTCAGATGTGGTGTGTTTGATGCATTTTTGGATCACCCATCCGGCATGTATTGCACGTTTGAGAAAAAACTTTTATTCTACTATAACGCCTGGAACTCCCTTTTTATTTTTTTTATTTTTTTTACATTGATACAAATACACTACTGGATTAAACTGAGTGTCTATCATACAACAAAACAAAAACAATAAGTTATAAAATCCATCAATGCTCTATTATAAAGATCACCTTTTTCACTCTCTTTAGTCAGTGGTAGAGGGGCACTCTGGTATGTAGCATTCTCCACTTCAGGGCGTCTTTTGTACTTCTGTCTTCCTCCCCTGACTCTGTCAAGACGTACTCCTACATTATAAAAGATAAAATAACTCTTGAGCCATAGCAGTAAAGGCACAATGAACTTATAGTCTTTAAAAAAAGAGGAAAACAAAGACTCTTTAGATGTGGTGTCAAAGACTGGTCACATCAAAGACCCACCCTCTTTTAGCATGCCCACTTTGAGGCACTTTGTGAAGCGGCACGCTTGGCAGGCCTTTCTGCGTCTTTTGGTGATCTCACACTCATTTGATGCTGGACAGCTGTATTCAATGTTTCCTTAAAGAGAAAAACACAGAAAACTGTAAATAACAAGAGTCAAATATTTAAATGTGAACAAGCTTTTGTTAAGAAAAAAACTCATCTTCGATATTTAAATATCAGAGAACTCTCATTCAGTTTAAAGCTACCTTGTGGTTTCCCACCATACACAAATTTTAGCAGCAAAGACCACGTCTTGGTAGGTTTGTTTGTCAGTATTGTGAACTGAAGCACTATCAAGGACAACATTAGAGACTGATGGACGCTTAGTCTTTAACAACCGAGTGAATAAAAGGAACGTTTAAATTTTCAGTAGCAGCTAAACTGAACTCGATGATTTATGCAGAAAAACTGGTTCATACATTTGTCACGTCTAGACTGGACTATTGCAATGGTTTATTATCTGGGTGTCCAAAAACTTCTTTAAAAAATCTTCAGTTGATCCAAAATGCTGCTGCAAGAGTCTTAACTGGAGTTAGTGGGAGAGATCATGTCTCTCCAGTTTTAGCTTCTCTTCACTGGCTCCCTGTCAAATCCAGAATAGAATTCAAAATCTTACTTCTAACCTACAAAGCTCTCAACAACCTAGCTCCATCTTATATTACAGATCTTATTGTTCCATATTTTAAAATACACTTGGCTCTCAGACTGCAGGTTTCCTTGTGGTTCCTAGAGTTTCCAAAAGCAGATCTTTCAGTTATCAGGCTCCTCTCTTGTAGAACCAACTTTCAGTTTCTGTCCATGAGGCTGACACATTGTCCAGTTTTAAGACTAGGCTGAAGACTTTCCTTTTTGATAAATCCTATAGTTAGGGTTGGCTTGTGTTTCTTGAGCTATCCCGTAGTTATACTGCTATAGCATAGACTGTTGGGAGGACAAACTGAGCACATTTATTCACTCTGCTACTGTCTTTACTTACTCTACCTGATTTTTACTCAACCTGTTTTGTATTTGTAATTTTTTCAATTCTTGACGTGTTTTTTCTTGTCTTTCTTCCAATAGGGGTCGAAGCAGATGGCCGCTTGTCCTGAGCCTGGTTCTGCTGGAGGTTTCTTCCTGTTAAAAGGCAGTTTTTCCTTTCCACTGTTGCCATTGCGCTTGCTCGGGATGGGAGACTGTGACAAAGTAAAGATTCAACAAGTCTGCTGGCTTCCTTCCTTAGATAGAGAACTTTTACTAAATGGCTTTTGTATCTATGTGAATGTTTCTGTTCAGTCCTGAGACAACTTCTGTTGTGATTTGGAGCTATATAAATAAACTGAATTGAATTTATCATCTCGTGTGTTTGTATGCTCTACACTCCATTTACACCAGCACTCATAAAGGCGAAGTAAACATCCTGTCACACAATTTGAAAATAAAATTAATGCTATTAAAGGGCACATGACATTCAGTTATGCCAAAACAAAGCCTCATTGCAGCATACACCTTGAATGGTTCTCTTGAAGAATGCCTTGCAGGCCTCGCAGGACGCCACACCGTAGTGATAACCCGAAGCCACGTCTCCACAGACGAGGCACAGCCTCTTGGGTAGCGTGCTCAGGGCGTACTTGCATCGCCCTGCCCCGTTACCAGCGGAGCCCTCCTCTGCACCCTCACCACCCTCGTCTTTAAAATGACAACGCAGAGGTGGCGTGTAGAGTGGTGGCGAGTAACGTTTAGGGCCGTCTCCTCTGGTTCCTCCACTTTGAGAAGAGTCTGAAGAGGCCCCACCAGGGCTGATCCGACCTCCCCCTCCGCCCTCCGGGCTGCTCGGTTCTGCCTTTATGTAGACATCTGTGCGACGCTCCCGGGAAGACATGATGTCTGACAGAAAAAAAACAGAAACCACATGGATATGTCAAGTAAATACTAATACAGATATTTACATTTACTCATACATTTATTTACCTGACGTACAGTGTGTTTATGCTCTGCATGTTCAAGATGGATCAAAGCTGGAGTTTTTGCTCACAAAGATGTAGACAATGGATGAAAATACGGTTTTATAATTTCGGACAACGTTAGAATTGTTTGCGTTTAAATAATAAGTTGTGGTCAAATTTTTAAATGTTAATATGTGACCTTCCATTCCAGCAAGGATTTTAGTATTACAGTACACACAAGTTGATTTATGTAAAAATTTCTTGCACAATTGCATCTTTTAACAAGAGCAGTCTGCATAAATCTTTTTGAATAGGAATGAAAAAAAAAAATCCGGAAAAAAAGGTCCCTATATAACATTTGACCTTGATTTGTGACCTTGAATTTGAAGCTAGGGAGATGAACAGTGAATGCAACATTTTGCCTAGTGATACATGTATGTTGTTTTGTTAAATTGTCTTTAGTGGATCAGAAGCCTTAACGGGACAAGAGGATGGACGGACGGATGGACGGAGACTATACCACAATACGTCCCTCTTTCAACGGGCGTATAAAAAATTCTAGACATCAAAGATTAATTAACAATTTGATCCATGTTGCGCATTTGGTAAAAATCCAATTTAACTGTAGTTCAGTGCTTCTAAAACAAACCATAAAACAACAGTGAACAGACAACTACATGAAAGTAGCGTTCTTTAAAGGAATGCATATCACCTGCTGCTTTACGCAACAAAATTTTAAACAAATTTCTTGCATAATCTATTAATGCTTGGAGTATGTAGAAAAAAATTACTTTCAGCTAGTACCATACAAATTTTAGGCTCAACATCTGTTAAATTAACTGAGGTGTAGCCATCTTTTTATTTCTCAAGTCGATTAGCTTAAGCTGCCATTATGAATCAAATTAAGTCCAAAGTGTAATCCTTCATAGACGTACATCAAATGTTTACTTTCTGAAAGATTTGTTCAAATCTGTCCAGTGGTTCGAGATATTTTATGGACAGACAGGGTTGATTCTAGCAGTTATATTAAAAGTTTTAAACAAAGCTTTTGCACGACTGGTTATTACAGCTCAGAATCAGTAAACTTGCCTAAGTTATGGCCATTTTTGTGTTTTCAGTTTTAAAGCCATTACATGGGAAGAACATGGGCTGATTCAGATGTAAAAACTCTTGAGAAAGATCAGAGTGCCAAAAAACAAAGTTCAAATCTTTAGCGTGAACGCTACATTAATTTAAAAAAAGCGTGACTTTTATTAGAGAAACAAGATCACAGTCGTTCTTTGCTCGAGTCATTTTCTGTAAAAAAAAAAAAAAAGCTCTTGGATTCTGCACTGTCAGCATGTAGACGTCCTAAAAAGGACCGCTTGGTTTAATGTCAGCTGCGTTTTTGTGCAATTTCTCACTGACTTACACATTTTAGGTCATCAAAACCCACCTCAGATTCCCCCCAAACCACAACCTTTCATGCCTGAAATAAAACTATACGGTCCTTAAATCCCCAGCCCCATGTGAAGTCTTTGTCTGTCGTGTTTCAGTCATTAAAACAGCCAAGGTGACTGGATGAAGGTCACAGTGCTCATAAACAGCAGCCACTCCTCCTTATCCAGAGATATGACTTGTGTTGAAGTAAGGCAGTAAAGGTGCTGCAGTGATCTCTAAGTGTGACAAATACAGCCCAATTTGCAGTTCTCAAATGCGTGCATTTATTATTCATTTAAATTAAAATGCCAGATTTTGTGTTAATTTTGTTAAAAGATCCAATTAAAATTGTACCCAAATGCTTTAGTAAAGATAGGAATATTTTATACTAAATACAAATTTAAACAGGTGCTTTTTTTTTCTTAAGAAAACAAACCCCCTCATTAAAACCCAAACTGTCTGTTTTGACTGCAATGTGCAATTTTAAAATGTGATTCAGCTTCTTGTAACTTTGGTTTGAAGCTAAATGTAATGGTTCTTAATAATATACTACATCCATTACTAAGGAGACAATTAGTCTAAAAGCAGTCTGATGGCTTTGATACATAATTTACTATTATTAGAGAGGACATCTGCCTCTCTGTTGTAAGTAAACAGACATATACTGTAGGCGAATATTTGTGTGAAGAAAGTGACCATGATTATGTTCTGAGCAAAGCAGAGTAAAAAAAAAAAAAGTACAGATTTATTGTTTCTGTAATACATAAGTTGTGTAATGCAACACAGCCTTACATGTATTTTGTTCATTCTGACTGTAAACAAGTAGTTAATCTGACAGGATATGATCAGAGACAAACTGCAGTCAGTGTCCTGCCCAGCTCCAGGTTTCAGACCATCATCATTGGCTACATTAATGCAGAGCCTTGCTTAGATTGACTGTTCTTGTTCCCACCTAATAGATCAGTGCATGAAGATGAAAAGGGATCTGAGCAGACTACGGTAAATACCCTCAATCCACTTAGGACTTGAAAGTAACATCTGAACTTGGCTTGTACAGATAATGGCAACACTTCAGTTAACAATCATTAATCATTTCCTTTCTCGCTGTTCTTCAGTTAATCTGATAAACAAGATGATGCCTTTGAATTTAAACGCCCTTGATTATAATATTTTCAATGCTCTGGTCTCTTGCATTGAATATCCAATCAGTGCTGCATGTCCTAATATTTTCTCTGTACTCAACTGATAAAACTGCCTTAAAACAATTTAATCATAAAATCATTAAGAAGTCATTTAACAATGTCGTAATGCATGTGAAGCAACCTATTAGTATATACAGATTGAAATAAGTTACAATATGTTGTTGACCAAGTTACTAATTCCTATACTTCTTTCATTTTATTCACTCACTTGTCCTTGTACTGGCTCGCAGGGAGCTGAGGCCCGTCTCATGCGGTCATAGAGCGCGAGGCGAGGTAACAAACTCCTCATTTTTAAAACATACCCTTCCAAAATTACAGCTAAACCTAGTTGGCAATCAGGGACTTTATAAGATGCAATCAATAACATGACAGTCCTCCTGGATTGTGCTGCATGCAGTTTTGATGTGAATTTGTACAACTCTTGTGTTTTGAGTAATGACAAAATATATATCTGTAATAAACAAGAGCCCACTGTCAACTTTAAAGTGATATTCGTCTCATCGCGCCATACATTTATGTAACAGAACCATAAAACCTCTGCCCTTGTCCACACAAACGGTTACTGTAACACACCCTCATAACTTAAAACACCTTTCCACATCCCTCAGTCACAATTTGGTAACAAGAACACATTTTATTTTAAAGGATATTAATACTGTTCAATATCAAACATGTATTCGACCTTTTTTTAAACAGGTTAATCCCATTGAGCCTCGGGGACTCATTTACAAGAGAGACCTGATTTCTTTAACAAAGAGTGATGACAACAGTGGATAACAACGACAACAATACACAGTCACAAAAGAGGCATACAAATTTAAATTTCTATTTCTATTTATTTTTTTGTAAATTAGGTTCAAGAGCCATTGAGGAAGGGGAAAAAAAGTGCAGAGATCAACTACAGGTAAACTACAGGAGGAAAACTGAGTCCTGGAAGTTAATCAACCAAATCTTTAGTGTACTGTAAACACACCAAACAAGAAATAATGTATGGAGGCATAACTGGACAGTTCAAAACAAGACCATAATATCTGCTCCTCGTATTCTCATTGCAAAGTAAATGCCTTTATGGTATTTATTGTTACAGCAGGGGATTTAGTTTCAGTCATACACTTACTTTCCTTGGAGTTTGCCCTCTCTGGATATGAGCTCTGTTAAGCAACCACTATGAGGGGGTCACATCAAAACCAGCCTGTTTAAAGTTTAGCTTACTGGGACTGAGTTTAAACCCAATCATCACAGCGCCACAACAGGCTCCACACCATGAACCCAATAATCAATGTGTTTTAGCTCAGTTTGGGGTAGTCGCTCGACCATGTGCACCTCTGGGCACTACAATTAGGCAGAAATGAGACGGTTTAAACACAAAACAAAACAAAAAATACACAGGCTATAATAACAGCATTTATGGTTTTATATACACTGAGCAAATCGCGTGTAAAATCAAATAGGTCGAGCTCTGTCTTCTACTTTTACCCGCCACAGAAACGTGTCGTGCCACCGTCAACGATTAAAAGGTGTAGCGTTAGCATTAGCTAGCTTCAACATAACATTTATACGACAGCTAGAGTAGAGGTTAGCTTACCGCTAACTAAGCTGGCTAGCTAGTGTTAATCCGAACTGACCAAGCTGTCCCTGCTCTTCCAGCCGAGTTTATTTTTGTCACCTTAACCCGGACTAGTCTAGTATCACCTTACCTTACAGTCGCGACTACCACAGCACCTAGGCAGACGCTGGACGACCCTGCCCGCGGCGTGGGCTCATGGCGCAGGTTCGACGGGACAATCTGTCTCCAGACTGCCAGCGGCTCTGCTAGCTCCGAGGCGGCCCGCGTGCACGGAGGGGCCGGGCTAACGACCGGCTTTCTCCTGCAGCTGTGGGTGGAAGTACTGTGGCTCACACCTGGAAATCCGTGTTTTTATTATTTTATTCCCGACCTGTTAGTTTACTACACTGTTCGTGGAACCTCTAAACGCTGCATTAGGTTTGTTTATTTGAGGGGTATACTGAAATTGACTAAAAACAAACAATTTGTGAACTTTTAGGAACAAGTTGGTTGTGACAAGGTGACACCAAAGAAGTGGTTTTGTCCCAGCTGGGAAGTAGAGGTGCAGTGGGTGCTACAGCTACACCCGACTGATGCCTGGGAATCAGAATCATCCATCCATTATCTTTTACCCGCTTCTTCCATTTTGGGTCACGGGGGTCGCCGGTGCCCATGTCCGGCAATCACTGTGCAAGGGGCGGGATACACCCTGGACTGGTGCATTGTCTGAGACAAACAACCATTCATTCTCACTCACACCTATGGTCAATTTAGAGTCACCAGTCAGACTAACATGCATGTTTTTGGATTGTGGGAGGAAACTGGAGTACATGGAGAAAACCAATGCATGCAAGGAGAGAACATGCAAACTCCACTCAGAAAGGCCCCCAGACCAGGATTCAAACCGAGGACCTGTTTGCTGAGAGGCAGCGGCTCTACCACTTGCACCACCGTGCTGCCCCGAATCAGAATCAGCTGCAGCTCTACTGTCAATGCACCAAAGCACAACGAAATCACAATACGCATGCACAAGCTGAAGGATTAACACGTGTTAAAGTCTAGTAATGTTCAAGGTGACTATTGTCATTTGCATCACGTGATACATGAGGTGGAATGAAATTGTGTACTCAGGGTCCCAGTTACAGTTACACCCTTCTTCACATCAATTTGGAGGTTGTTCTTTCTGAACCAGGTGTTCCACCTCCTGACGGTAGCCGGACTCATTGTTTGTGATGCATCCAACCACTGCTGTATCTCTGCAAACTTTACAATATGACAGCCTGGATTGGTAGGAGCACAGTCGCATGTGAGCAGAGTGAACTGGAGGGGGCCCAACACACAGCCCTGAGGGGAGCCAGTGCTGAGGATTCATTCAACCTTTAAACAGGTTAGTCCCATTGAGCCACAAGGACTCATTTACAAGAGAGACCTAGATTATGGATTATGATGTTTTCATAGAATTGAGTTTAGTAATAGCTGATAAACCAGAGCTGTTATTGTACATCTCTGTGCTAAATTTTACAACTACGTAAAACTTATGGCATAATGGCAGTTTTATAGGTAATGTCTCACTTACATTTTTTTTTATTGTCCATATTCAGATTAAACATACATAACCCATGTGCCCCTCAGTGCTTGTATTTGTCATTATATATTTATATTAGTGTTTAAGGTCTTACAAATTCTCACATGCCATCTTTTCCTTAAATGCAACATGTCAGTTTGACTACCTTAACAGAAAGCCAGAGGATCCAGAAGATTAATCACAAACGGTGACCCACGTATAGTTGATAAATGTTAACAAGTCAATTGCTATTCTGCACCTTCAATTAGGGTTCTTTATCTTGAGCTGGCCAGTATGTTCTACTGCTACACCAAGCGTTATCATCCCCAACCTGCATACAGGTCCCTAAAATAAACAATGTGCAGCTGCAGAATTATTAGGTCTTTTAGACCATTAGTTCCAAGCAGGCAGAACGGTGGAGTAGTGGTTAGAGCTGTTGCCTTTCAGAGAGAAAGTCGCAGGAACGCCTCCCTGCCTGAAACTGTTCTGGGTCGAGTTTGCATGTTCTCCCCGTGTACTCGTGGGTTTTCTCCAAGTACTCAGATTTCCTCCCACAGGGCTAAAACATGCATTTAAGATTAACTGGTAACTCTAAATTGTCCCTAGGTGTGAGAGTGTGAATGCTTGTGTGTCTCATTTGTCTTTTTATACCATACCATACCATACCAATTTATTTATATGTATTTTTATGTCCCTGTGATAGACTGGCAACCTGACCAGGGTGTAAATTGTAAATGAACTGTATTTATATAGCACCTTTCTATCTTATCAAGATACTCAAAGCTCTTTACAACACAATCTGTGCCCTCATTTACCCATTCATACAGCACTCTACTAGATCTCTACAGAGACTAATCAGTGCTTTATCACATTCATACACCGATGGGACACACATCAGAGGCTATGAGGGATTCAGTGTCTTACCCAGGGTCACTTTGGCATGTGACTGCTGGTGGAATCGAACCCCCAACTCTTGCAGTGGAGTACGACTGCTCTAACCATTCAGCCACAGCCGCCCCAATACAGATGTACAGGTGTGCTCTCTCACAGTGACTGTGGAGATGGGCACCAGTTCGTCGTGACCCGGAAAGTAGAAGCAGGTAAAACAATGGATGAATAAATATGCTTCAACCAGCAAAAGATGGGGTCACAAGTCACTTCCCTTGTTATTTTGTGGCTCAACAGCTGAAATATTTGTGATCCACTATTTTAGACAGATGTATTCATGGCTCCCTTCTTCTTTTAAATTTAATTTTAGACAGAGAAATACTTGCACTGATGCCCTAAACATGTCAGCTTAAAACAACCAGAAAATGAACACCTACAAACTTTTCTTTGCATATATCTTTCACCATATTATTTCTTCATAATACCTACTTTATGGGGGAAAAAAAAGTTAAAAGGTTGCGCACCCGTGCAGAAGGGAGCAGCTGTGATTTGTCTGACGGTCAATAATCCTTATTGAAGCATAGATTATAAACCAAATATTTCATCAGCATAATTGGGAAACGTGAAAAGCTTACCTGTTTTGTGAACTGGAGCTTGAAACCTATCTAGTCCTCACTCCTGATGGCAGCTCAGTTTAATGTTCTTGCTGTAGGTTCAAATCTGGAGTTATCAGGACACCTGCAAAGTAGGCAAATAACTTTGAGAATCACAGCCAGATTAACACCAATATTTTCATTTACACGTTTAAAAGAAATAATCATCTGCGTGTCTACATCTAGCAAAAAGACAGCAGTTTTCTGGTTCCCAAAGTAAATGTCATTGTGCACAATCTCACGCAATACTGCAAGGTCAACGTGTTGAGGAAGACCTTCAGCTACTACCACACCAAGCTTCAAATCAGTATCCGTAAAACTGCCTGGGTTAGCGCCATTCATGTGTTGGCAGAAGTTGCTTAGCTGCGATGGCCATTTTGAATGGGGCTGACACCGAATGTGAATCAGTTGATTACTTTGAGAGAGTTTCTCAGAAATAGGTCCAATTGTTCCCAAGATATCTTTGCTACCTACAAACAAACAAACAAACACACAGACGCAGGGAAGAACATCACCGCCTTTGCCGGTTGTTTCCAAATATACACAACCCAGTGCGCCTATACAGAATCTCCACGCTGCCTGACTACCCTCCCCCTTGAATGCAGCGTGACACACTCCAAAGGTCACAGTCACAGGAATGCTTGAAGGACAGACTGGGTAAAGCCAACACCTTGTCCCTCATAAGCAGTCATAAGCTTAAGTTTGGCCATAACTCTGTAAATAATTAAAACAAACTGCATGCAATATTTCAATTATAGGTTAAAATAGGATGCTCTCATGTTTGAACGTGATCTGATCTCCTTCTTTTACAAGAAGAAGGGAAAGGGATATGTTTTGTTAAAAATCATACCCCCTGACTTATTGAGCACTACTTCTTCAGAAAGCTTTCTTCTTCTGGTTTGGCCTGAGGCTCTGGTGGTGTCACTGCCAGTGCATCACAAATACAGGCTGCACATTAAAGCGTGTTTGACTGTGGAGCTGCACACAGCAGCCCCCCCGCGGTGACCTTGCCTACTGATCTTGGACCGGTGAAAGGTTAATTACCAAAGTGGATTATTCCTTTAGATCACTGATCCCAGTTCTGGTCCAGCAGGCACGGTCACTACATAGTTCAGTGTGTTAAAGAAATGAGAACTCTGGGTGATAAAACACATAAAAAGGTTAAAGTCTTGTGGAAGTGCAGGGATTGGGGGGGGGGGGGTATTTGCATATGCACGATTTATCTTTTGAGTTATCTTGAGACACTATGCTTAATAAGTACTATGTACGTACTTTTTTGTATTTATGAATATTAATGTTAAAATGATTAAACAAAAAGGTGCATGAAATCCGTTAATCGCAGCATGCGAGCTGGACAGAAAGCAGCAAATTATTACACAATTATATGAAAGTATTTATTCAGAGGAATGTGTGCCCCTTAGCCCCACTAACACCACGGCCCGGGAGAAGTTCCTGTGAGTCGTGCATGCACACCAGGCTTTCACAGACACCGGCGACATGTTCCGAAAAAATGAATAATGAAAGCCTGAACCTGCAGGGAAGTGGAGGCTAAAACAAAAACACTTACCGGAAGATGCAAAACCATCGCGTTCTTTTTTGTCAGCCAGTCTGTCAAGTCTTTGCGGCTAGAAAGTCCAGTCCTGGTTTAAAATAACGACGCCGTCTGAGTCTCTCCAGGCTTTTCCGCATCACATTTTAACTCCGTCACCGTTCAAGTCAGGTGATAACCGGCGACACAATGTTTGGACCGGTTGTTCAGTCCTGTACACTGGCGTGAAAAATTCCCATTTGGGCTAGTACAAATGGGCTACGCTTCAATATTTAGCATCAAGCCTTGAAGAGGAGAAAACAAAACATCCGGTTAAAACCCTTTCACAACAAAACGTTAGCGTCGCGCAAGACGTTTTAATTTTGTTTCAGACTAGCCTAAGTGTGAAATCAAAGCTAAGTTGAATATAACTTAGTTTTAGTCAACTACGTTAACGTGTCTTAGAGTTACGCAGATGCAGAAAATCGTTAACATTTCTAAAGTAAACGAACAAAAAATTTGTTTTGAAAACTCAGCTAAGTAACTTCCGGCACCCTCATCGTTTGCTCTCGCTAGCTTGACGGAGCT